TTTTATGAGAATGGTTTCGATTGGATTTGAGAATCCGCGGGGCGCATCCGCCTGAACGATGAGGGTGATACGAAATGGGCCGTGTGCGCAAGCTAAATCAGGCAGGCTCTGGTGATATGAAATGGGCCGTGCGCGCAAGCTTGCATGCAGGATTAGAAAATACTCCCTCCGGGATGCTCAAAAAAAAAAAGAAAATACTCCCTCCGTTCCAAATTAATTGACCTGGATTTATCTATATACGGATGTATCTAGTACTAAAACGTGTCTAGATATATCCGTATCTAGACAAATCTGAGTCGGCTAATTCGGGACAGAGGGAGTACGGTTTAGTGCACCACCTCTCTCTCGCTGGAAGGTTAGGGTTTTTCCTTCTCGCTCGCGAGTTAGGGTTTTTCCTCCCGGGGGTGATATCGTCGCCGCCGTCGAGCACTTGACCTTCCCTCCTCCAACCGCGGAAAGGCGATCTGGTTCAGGCTGATCAAGGGGTGATCTAGTATCACTTCCCGGCCTTGGCCTCCCCGAGTTGCGCCGGAGAGTTTTAGGGTTTGCTTCAACGCCCGATCGATCTGTTTTCTCAGGCTAGGTTTCAAGGTTTTTAGCGGCTATGGGATTGAAGGCAAAGGATGCTACGGGTTCCAGCTCCGCGACAGAAGTAGAGAAGATGATGGCGGAGTTGGGTCTCCGAGAGGAAGATCTCGATGACGTCGTCTTTGATGAGAAGGTGGCTCCGCCAGATGCAACTAGATGGATGGCTGTAGCGAGGGTGCACATCGGTAAACCTTATAGCCAATACTAGTTCTTCAAGAACATGCGTGCGGCGTGGGATTTGGCACATGAGGTGAAGTTCCGCCCGTTGGAGGGTAATCTATATACGCTGCAGTTCTTCTGTCTAGGGGATTGGCAACGAGTTATGTAGGAAGGACCATGGAATTTTAGGGGGCATGCTGTAATCATCACCCCATATGATGGAATCACCAAGCCCACGGAAGTCAATCTGGATACACTCGATATTTGGATACAAATCCATGATGTCCCTGACCTATACGCTCATCTGGTGACGCCTTTGGCAGCAAAGGTAGGTGAGGTGCTGTTTATAGAAAACATGACACAAGACTTTGCCGGAATTTTTTTTCGCGTGTGGGTTAAGATCAATGTGCACAATCCGTTGAAGAACACGGTCTCAATGATTCACGATGGCAAGCGACAGATCTATCGTGTGAAGTACGAGCGCCTGCCTGATTGGTGCGCAGTGTGCGGGCATCTTGGGCATGTATACAAGGAACATGGAGATGGTATCCACCCTCCCTCTGCATTATATTTCAAAGACCTCCGTGCTTCGTGGAACATGCGAGTTGGTGATGGACCTGGACGTGGTAGAGGTCGCCGTGGTGGCCGCCGAGGTGGCCGTACAACCGGAAGGGACGCCGGAAGGGGTAGAGCCCCAAGTCATGCAGATGGAACGAAAACTGACAACACAGAAACCACGGATCCAGATGCAGCTATGGTCGATGTGGGCGATAACAGGAAAAGGCTAGCTAATGAACATAAGAGCGGGATGGCTCTTGCCATCTTACCTGCCATAGGGAACACGCTCGCTGCTATCCCTTAGGTGGTGCCAGCTAGTCCATCATCGGTGCAAGAACCAAAGAGACCCCGTGTTAATGCAGACAAAAATAGCGTGAAGAAGGGTGCTACAACAGAGAAACCAATTGAGTCTAGATCGGCTACCTCCCGAGGGGAGGATCACCGGGCACAATGAATGTCTTATGTTGGAATTGTCGTGGTGCGGGCAAAGCCGCGACAATTCGAGAGCTTCGCGATCTAGCGAAGCAATTTGCCCCGACCGTGATGTGTATTGTCTAAACTCAAATGTCAGAGGCACGGGTCGAGAGTCTTGCTAGTACTTTAGGTTTTACTCATGCTTATATGTTGTTGGTAGCTCTGGCCGCAGTGGCGGCATTGGTGTTTTCTGGAATGATGGAATGAAATTGGATGTTTTCGGTTACTTTGAGTATCATGTAGATGCGGAAGTGTTGATTCCTAATCACGAGGAGTGGAGACTCACATGTGTTTACGGTGAAGCGCAGACCGGAGAGAGGTATAGAACATGGGATATGCTGAAACCTCGAGTCAGCGTTAATTCCTTGCCATGGTTATGCATCGGTGATTTTAACGAAGTCCGACATCTGCATTAGCATGTGGGGACGGGGCAAAGACGAAGGGTGCAGATTCAGGGCTTCAGAGATGCTATGGACGTCTGCGCACTTGCTGATATTGGCTGGGTACCATGGGGAACCCTGGGCTTATGAGAAAAAGACATCTGATGGAGGTTACTGCCGAGTTCGTCTTGATAGAGCTCTTGCTAACTCGGATTGGAGCACTCTCTTTCCCCATGCGAGCCGCACCCATGAAACGGGTGCTTCATCAGATCATTGTCCTATTAGACTCCAATCCGAGCCGGTTCAGGTTACACAAAGGGTGCGGAAAATATTCAGGTATGAGTGTTATTGGGAGCGCCATGACACGTTCGGTGAATCGCTGGAGACAATGTGGAGTGGGAGGCCGACCAGTCAATCAGCAACGCAGCTCATCACGAAGCTTGCGGACCTATCGGCGTCCTTGCAACAATGGAGTGGGGCTAATATTGGAAGCGTATCCAGAAGGATTAAGCAGTTGAAAAATGAATTGGCGGTTTTGCAGAATGACCCTCAATGATTGTCTCCCTCGCATGCAGAGGTAAAAATTACCGATCAGCCTGTGGAGCTGTACCATATGGAAGAGATCCTGCAACAACAATGATCGAGGGTGGATTGGCTCGTGGATGGGGATAAGAACACGAATTTTTTTAGAGAAGAGCAAGCATGCGCTGTAGGAAAAACCTTATCAAAAATCTGCAAAAACCTGATGGATCTCTAACCCAAGATCCTACGGAGATGGCGGCCATCACTAATGAGTTCTATAAAGATTTGTTCCACTCTGAAGGCACTTCGGGCATGCAGAATGTGTTGAATGCAGTACCGGCTAAAGTGACAGCGGAGATGAACATGAACTTGACGGCGCCCTTCACTCATGAGGAGGTAAAAACGGCTCTTTTTCAAATGTACCCCAGGAATGCACCCGGCCCTGACGGATATCCAACGCACTTTTTTTCAAGGCACTGGGAGCTGTGCGGGGGAGAGGTAACCAATGTGGTCCTTCAAATCCTTAGAGGGGAGGAGAGTCCAGAGGTAATTAACAATACCCTGCTAGTACTAATCCCTAAGGTCAAGGATCCGGTTCAGCTATCGTAATTTCGTCCTATCAGTTTATGTAATGTGCTTTACAAAATTGCCTTAAAGGTTCTAGCTAATAGATTGAAGCATATTTTGCCAGACATCATTTCAGAGGAGCAATCCACCTTTGTACCGGGGCGTTTGATCACTGACAATACCATAACAGCCTATGAATGTCTGCACTTTATGAAGAGAAATAAAGCAAAGAGGAATAGGTTTTGTGCTGTGAAGCTGGACATGATGAAAGCATGTGATCGTGTAGAATGGAGCTATCATGAGGCTATTATGATTAAGCTGGGTTTTGCACCATCTTGGGTGGCCTTGGTAATGAGTATGGTAAGCTCAGTAAAGTTCCAAGTTCTTTTTAATGGTGGTAAGTTGGATGAGTTTACACCTTCGAGAGGGATCCACCAGGGGGACCAGATTTTTCCATATCTGTTTTTGCTTGCAGAGGAGGGCCTTACATGCCTCTTAAAAACACAAGATGAATCATCACACCTCAGTGGTATACAAGTTGCTCCATCGGCTCCGCTAGTAAGACACTTGCTCTTCGCGGATGATAGCCTGTTGTTTGTCAAAGCCAGTTCTGATGGAGCAAATGAGTTGTCCTCCTTGATGGATACTTACTGCCAAGCATCATGTCAAAAAATTAATTTGGCCAAATCATCAGTTTTCTTTAGCAAGGGCTGCCCTAATACCTTGCGGGCTAAAGTGCCGAATGCTCTCAATATTGCCAATGATTCGCTCTAAGATAGATACCTTGGGATGCCCACTGATGTTGGCAGCAGCAAGAATGGTGCTTTCAAATTCCTAAAGGATAGAGCGTGGAGCAAGATAAAAGGATGGATGGAAAAACTACTATCTTCTGGGGGCAAGGAGGTCCTCATCAAATCAGTAGCACAGGTTGTCCCGGTATATTATATGTCATGTTTCAAGCTTCCTCGAGGTTTATGTGAGCACATCAACACATTGATACGGAAATTTTGGTGGGGGAGCAAAGAAGGACAAAGGAAACCAAGTTGGGTTTCATGGAACACAAAGACAAGGCCCAAGTTCTGTGGAGGGCTCGGATTCAGGGACATAGAATTGTTCAACCTCGCCTTACTTGCCAGGCAAGCTTGGCGAGTACTAATGGAACCCGGATCCTTAAGCGCTCGGGTCTTAAAGGCCAAGTATTTCAGCAACACTGATTTCCTATCAGCTGAGCTGAGCGCGGCTCCTTCCCAGATCTGGAGATCCATCCTGGATGGACGGGATGTTCTTGTTCAAGGACTGATAAAAAGAATTGGTAATGGAGTTTCGATCAATGTCTGGAGGCACAACTGGCTCCCGCGTCCCCACAACATGAGGCCGATAGTTTGTAGAACACAGCAACAACCAACTGTAGTGGCCGAGCTGATACTACCGGGAGCGGAGTGGAACAGACAGTTGATTCAGGAGGTGTTTCTACCCTCAGATGCAAGAGCTATATTGGAAATTCCACTATGCATAGTACAGATGGAGGATTTCTGGAGCTGGGTACACGAGAAGAACAGAGTTTTCTCGGTGAGGTCGGCTTATCATATGCTCATAGACACAAAAATGAGGAGGGAAGCATGGCTTGAGGGCCGGTCTGATACCTCAAACACCGAGGGCGAGCAACGAGCTTGGTCCAAGCTTTGGAAGGTGGATGTTCCATCGAAGGTTAAAATCTTCTTGTGGCGCCTTGCACAGAATTCCATGCCAACTGCAGACCTGTTACACAGCAGAAACATGTCAACGACCACAACTTGCAGGCTATGTGGAGCTGAAGATTCCTGGCAACACTCCCTCTTACACTGTAGCATCACGAGATGTGTCTAGGCCCTGCAGGGCCCCAACATTTATGAAAATCTGAACACTACCAATTAGCCGGACGCAAAGAGATGGATTTTCGCGATCATGCAGTTGCTATCCCCTACTGAAACTACACAAGTTGTGGTGACACTATGGGCTACTTGGTATTCGAGAAGGCAGACTATCCACGAAAGCATTTTCCAGAGTCCTATGTATACTCACACCTTCATTATGCGGTACATCAGGGAGCTTCAGGACTGTAAACCGAAACAACAACATCGTGTGGTAGCGATAGAGCTCCTGGTAACTGCACGCGGTGGTTCCCCCCAGAGCCTGGTGTTGCTAAGATCCGGATAGATGGTGCAGTTGCGAGAAATCAGAACGAGGGATCTATCAGTTCTGTCTGCAGGAATTCAGAAGGTGATTTTATGGGGGCCTCATGCATGAAATATATAGGCATATCGGAGCCAGCCATTTTGGAAGCTCTTGCCTGCCGCGAGGCCCTAGCGATGGCTACTGATCTACAGCTGGACATAGTTTTGATTGCTTCAGATTGTCAAGCAGTGGTCCGAGACATACAGAGCTGGACAAGAGGTGCTTACGCAAGTGTCATCAAGGAGATTAATGCGAGAGCGGCAAATTTTCAGCAATGCTCCTTCATCTTCGAAGGAAGAGATTCTAATGTCGAGGC